TACAAAAACATCCACTACTCATATTGTTAACAAAAGTTTAAAATATAGAGAACTAAAATCCGCAATGAATAGCAGTGTTTTACTGGACACACCAGAAGAAATTAAGGAAATTGTATCAGATATTATTGATAATATTTTATTAAAATCTAGTCAAGAGTCTAATAGTAGTATTACAGAAACAATTAAACCACATGCCACTTCTTCGAGTAGTAATTTTACAAATACTTCAAGACAAGACATAGACTCTTCTGCTAGTAATAGCACACAACAAAACTTGTGTTTAGAAAATAAAGAATTTAGTGATGTTGATAATTCCATGTCTGCAGAATTAATACAAGGTACTAATAAAGAATTTACGGAAAATAATATCAATCATGAATCTATTGTGAGTGATATCCAAAATGCAGATGCATCCTATGTCTCATTAGGCAATGAGAGTATTAATCATAAAGATAAAAGTGTATATTGTACATTAGCAAAAACAGATCTGACAAAAGCACACTTAGAAAATATAATTAGTGACCTTGCACAGTTAAGCATAAAGAAGAAAGATTTAAATCCGCCTAGAGAATTATTAAATTCCAAGTCACAGAGTATTAGCAAATATTCTTTATCTGATTGTGCCAAAGAAATTAGCATTTTAAGAAATGATAAGTTTGTACCTTGTAAAAGTAGTGAAGATACAAGTAATGTTTTCACGTCAGCACTGAAAAATGAAGAGAATGTTAGTACAAGTAAAGATGTATCAAATGCTGCTGGAATGAATAATGTTGAAGTTAAACCATTTTCTCCGCTTGAAACACCTCCGAATAGTTGGTCTCCCGAGATCATGGATTCTGGTTATCCAAATTCTGTTTCCGCGCAAGATATAACACCAGAATATGAGTTGCCTAGCATAGCTCAGGATTATATACCAGATTCCGAATCGCCAAGTATTGCGGAAGCACCAAGACTTGGTGTTTTGGAACCGATTGAGGTAGAAAACGGCGATTTAGCAAATAACAATAGAGATGATGAAGGTAATAATATGATGGCTGTGGATGCTAATGATATTGAAAATTTACAACCTCTAATTGACGTACTCGAAAACGATCTGGAGAACGAAAACGATATTTACGTAATGCAGAATGGTTTTCCTATATGGTTACTGAGGATATTGGATATGGCAAATCCGCTTGATTTTGATATGCAAGCTCGACAAAATCTGAGAATTCCTGATGAGGCTGCAGGTAACTGTATCTTTCTATCTTCTTCATACTGTGCATATTTTAAAGATAATGTATTTATAATATTTTTATATTTCCAGATGATGTTAACTATGTAGGTCAGGATGAAGGTTTTGATAGCAGTTCTTCAGAAAGTGAAAGTGATGTAGCTTACAATGAAATGGAAAATGATAATGGACATGGTAAATAAAAAGATTTGTTTTAAAGAGAAAAAGGAAGAAAAGAGAAAGTAAAACATGAGCGTGACATAATTGCAGCATTAAAGTACTATCTTACATATCATTCTTCGATGCTCCTGACAAGTTTGCAGTATAGGCTTGAAAAGTAAATATCTTAGAAAATATTTTTGCTTGCGTTTCATACATAAAGAGTATTCCAAATCATGGATAAATTTTTTTATTCATTAAAATCAAACTAATAAATAAAACTACCTCTTTCTATATATTTTAACATAATATTTTATTAAATATTTCAAACCTATGCAATGTTTTATGTAATAAAATATCTAGGACTACATTCCAAAACGTCTTCGAGAATAATAATTTTATTCAATATAATAGTATATGTTACATACACTATATTTCGAATAAAATTTTCCTCAGAGAGGACGTTTCGGAATGTAGCCAAAATCAATCTTAGATACCTAAACTAAATAGATAAATTATGTTCATTAAGTATAATATTTGTTTTTATTGTATGTATTGAATGTATTTTCTATGATATTCTCTTTCTCTCATTTGAATAACTGCAAGAATTTTTCATTCCTGTATTATAAACGTGTATTAAAATATCAATGAGCTTTTCTCTATTATTATGAATATGAAATATTCTTGTTATTATTCAAATTATTACGCAGTCTTAACATGTTATGCATACACGTATATAATATATGTACATGTATGCATGTTTTGTATGTGTACACGCGCGCGTACGCAGGCACGCACGTGTATGCACATTACGTATACGTAATATATAAAAGTACATACATGTACATAATATATATTCACATATCGATTTGTATGGGTGCATATGTATGTGTGTGTGTGTATATATATATATATATATATATATATGTATGTATATATACACACACATACATGTACGTATATATATATACGTATATTTTCTTACAATTTTATGAATTTTTTTTCAATAGTTTGTTAAATATCTCTAATATTTCAGTCCTTGATGTGATTTATGAAAATTTATCAATATGTTAAGTTTTGATAGAGTGTAACATATATCTATGTGATATCTGGTAGGTCAATAGCAAACGTGATAACTAATATGAAATTAATTTTTGTAATTGTTTGATAATTTCGTTAAAATTTCCTACCTAAGACTGAAACTACATAGTTAAGTTCGCAGTGATGCAAAAACTTTGGACAAATAAAATCGATATAAAATTTGAACAAATGTAATGTTCTCAATATATTTTATCCTAATACAGGTAAACATGTACACATTATATGGCATAAAAGTTACGAGCTTCTTAATATTAAATATTTTACATTGAAACGTGATATCTTTCTTTATTTCAGTGGAATGAAATTACAGGGTATACAATGGTTCATACGTAATTAGCCTAAGACTTTACATGATTCTGTTAGTTTGAAACGATTTTGACTGTTGTGTTTTAGTATTTACAGAAATAAAGTCTTCCATTTTTCAATACAAGCGGTTATTTGCTAGAGTGTAAGTCAAAGAGACCATAAACTTTGCTTGAAATCGTGTACATATTACTCGTTAATAATTTTACTAAATTTAGTTTAATAAAAAAAATAAAATAAAAATAAAATACAATAAAAAATGTGCGTTGACTGTTTCAGTAAATTTCATAATATAATTTAATGGCACAAATATGCTTTAATTTTACATATACGCAATTTTAATATTTTTTTGCATAAGATTCTAATCTCTTTTAATTCTTTCTTGTTTAAATCTGTATAAATAAATATATCACACTTGTATATAAGTAAATGGCACGACTTACGAAGCTAAGTTTGATAGTCAAGAATGTGCTATAAGTGTATAGCAAATTTATTGTGGAAACATCTTATAATACTAGACAAATTACACATCAATGGAATTGCATTTTTAAGTAGTGCCTTAATACTACAATCTATGGCTTTTAGTAACGTTCGTCTTACTACAAATTTTATCAAAACAAAATGCAAATTATAATTAAACAGTATTATAAATATCTTGCAACTATCGTGTAATTTACATGTGTGTCTATTCTGCTACATTCTTACTATTAATATCCCATGATTAAATGGGAAATTAAAATATACTTTTCGCGTGTTTATCAGTGTGACAAAAGTATATATAAAACTAAAATAGTGAAAGTTTTTAATATCAAACTTAACGTATAGAATTAGTAGAATTATCGGAATATTATGTCAGCAGAACTGTCAAGACTATATATACGTATGTAACTATCAATTACTACTATCAGTTGAATTGAAGTTATTGCAGAATATATAATGGACTTAATAATAAAGATACATGGAAGAAAACGCATTCGCACTATTTTGGAATGTTATATTAATTCAGATAAAATTAAATAATGGAAAATCAATTAATAGAAAAATAAATAAAACAATTACTTCTGTTATGTAAATTCCGATTTTCGTAATCACGCATTTGTTCAATAGAATTGTCATGACTATTGTTACTCGAAAGTTACTGTATGTATAGATAAAAGTCTCTACAGCATTTTCTCCCTTTCATGCTTAGACTAGTTTCATACAAAACGTGGCATATGTACTTACTTTTATTTTCTATTATTGTAAATAATTTATCATGTTTACGTACGTAATGTGATTCTTTTTCGGTTGTTCTTCGTTAGTAACCCGCGTGTTGTGTAAATTTTTATATCGAGCACAACATTTACACATATTGATATATGTCAAATGAAAGAAAGAAAAAAGAATAAACGTAAAAAATAATGTTATTATAAGCGTTTATACGCGTGTCGAAAAAAGGAAAAAAAATCACAGAAACAAATCTACTTTTAAAATGTAACAAAATTTATAACAATGATTTTCAATATAATATCAGCTGTTATGTAAATGGGGCTGCCTGATCAAAAGCATTTGATGCGCAATTCAATTGGGGAGCGTGACAAAGAATATATCAAGTTAACAAATAACAGTACATTAAATAACTACGAACATACGTTATGTTCACATATTCGTGCCTGGCGCACGACTCCAAGATGTACGTATTCTTCTCCTAATGGCATTTTGTCTGCATAGTGAAAACATGAAAATAACATGATTTAATATCGAATATTAGACTATCATTATTCGCAAGCACGCACAGGAAGGGCATTAAAAGTCATATCACGGAAGTAGATTGCACAAATAGTCGCTTCATAGTCGCATTGATATAAAAGATTTTTTTATATCGTGCGACAATGGTCGCGTTCAGCAGACTGTATTGGATGATCTAGAAGAATACACCAAGCAATGAGAGAGCGCTCACAGATTCGCTCCGCAACAGTTGAGCCTACTAAACGCAATCATTATGTCTTCCATCTTATTCTTTGCTTTAAAAAATATTTGATAGTTGACATATATATTTTACTTGTTGACAGATATTTTATTCGTCAATGAATGTCTCTGTTTTATATCTATGCAACAACTATACAGCAACTATGTAGCAACTGCTTTACGTAATATATATATATATATATATATATTTCATTCTACTTTCATATTCATTTCACTGTAGTGCTATTTTTTAGGAGGTATTGTACTTTGTACTTACTGCATCACACAACTTCCTTGAGACTATCGCGCGTTTCACGACCACGAGAATGTATCAAATGGTGCAGATCACCTCCGGGCGCACTGTCGCGTCTCAGATCTCTCAGCGCGGTAGGAGCCATTGCTTCTCTCTTGTTTGCCGCTTCCTTTATACTGGACAAAGTTTTGCTGAGCCATGGCCAACTATTTCGCGCGGCTTGCAGCTCTGAAGCGGTGGCGTGCAACTCATGTGTCAGATACTGTCAAATGATTTGCGTTAGAATTCAAAGATACAAACTATCAACTATGCAAAACGTATCCTTGTCGCCCACCTGATTCCGGCATTCGGCCTCGACATGTGCTAATTTCGTCTGCGCTAATTCTAGCTCCAACTCACCTATGAAGCATGGGATCTATTCGATTCTCCAAAGGATGTGCGATATCCGCCAATATGTTTGATGAATCCATTATACATGTCCTACATTTTTCGCATTTTGAAACCTTTGCCTGAAATATATTGTTATCAGTCTGTGTTTGATAAACCGTTAACGCTATCAAAATTAAACCAGAGATTACATACTCGTAATTCGCTCAATGTTGTTTTCGCAGCGTTGTAATCATCTTCCAAACGCTGACAGATCTGGAACGTGTAAATATTTTTGCAACTATCTGTAATACTTAAACTCAAATGTATAATATAATATCTTATAAATACCTGCTTGTATTCGGCTATAATGACATTGCTTCTGCGGCTTTCGGCGTCTGCCCGAGCTACCTCACGCTGTAACATCTCCTTAATTTGCAACAATTCTGCCTCCAATCTTTGCTTTTCTTCTTCATTTCTAGCCACTGTACCGCGTAATTGCTCCACTTCGTTACTGTATTCATCAGCATTTTCCTGTGCTTCTACATGAGGAATAAACAATTCTCATTTAGGCAAGTTTAAGAATTTAATGGATTAGACAATTAGATTATGTTTATTATGTCGAGATTTTGTTTTATGTTTACTCTCTCTCTCTCTCTCTCTCTCTCTCTCGTATAAATTTATAGCTATAAATTCCTAAAATTCGTAAAATGCATAATTGTATACAATGTTATTAAAAAAGTTATTATAAATAGTTATAAAAATATTTTTTTAATACACTTTTATTTTTTTGCATAAGTTAGATTTTTTTGCTAAAAATTTCATGTATTTTATCAGTCATGTTTGATGTTGCTACATGTATTACAAATGTTTTATTTTGAATTGCACACGTTTCTTCTAAAGAAATTCGGCAACAATTTCTGAACATTGCACATTTAAGTATTATATAAGCACACTTTTCACTCTTACTCTTCATTAATTCTTTCGTTGCATGGCTCATATTTGCGCCACCGATACGTTAAAAACAGATAATCCGAACGTAACTGACAGATATCGTGTTAACACGAACGGCCAACTTTGCTATGTACTACAGGAATGTACTATGATCAAATTTAAACCGCTGATATAGCTATATTGGATATCTTTATCTGTTATATATCTCAAGTGACAATGTTGATAGCCGAAATTTCCACGTACACTTTACAACCTTGTTATATCTTGAAACATTGTAATAAAAACAAACTTGACTGATAAAATATATCTAGAAGGATGCCTTTATCATTCCTTGCACATATCCAATTATTGCAAATTGTGATTTCTTGTGATAATAATTGATATACACTGTACTATCATATTGTTAACTGTGTCAGCTTCAAATTTAAATATAAACGACATTTCAGTATATACATAGTGAAAGCTATCTGATGATTAGTCAGCCTATAGTCACTGCTTTATCAGCCTATGTTATTGCGTAACAGCTTATGCATACTTCAACATAAAAATATTTCTATTTATCATTCTTACACATAGATATAATTTCTAGATCAGATAAAATTTTCTTTATATTATAAATACAAGTATATATAACTAATTATATCTCATTATTTTTATTCTTTTTGTTAATTATAATCTAGCATTGTGGTATTTATAGGTACCAGCAAAGACACAATCAGACACTGTGTAACAATGAATCGTTTCATCCTTGTTTAACATAGGCAAACAACAAGAATGTAATGATTTACTGTTACATTGTGTCTGACTATGTTCTTGCTAGAAAGCACCCTATATTGCGATACTACACTACTTCTATAGATATATAAGAGAAATAATTAGTACCATACAAACAAGTGCTGACAATTTTGTTTGATGCGCCATGCATACCCAATATAGCAAGAAAACAAAAATGTGAAGATAGGAAGTGCAGATGCTTACTAGATATTTATTAGGAATAGGATATTATCGGATAAAATAGGTAATTCACAAAACTAAAAGTACTCTGAGATGATTTATTTTTCACTAAGCAATAATAAATAATGTATAAATAAAAAGCAATACAAGAGGTCGTAGACACAAGCGCTACAGCCAATAAGCATGGATTCTAATAACAAACATAATAACAGTTTTTCCAATGTGATATCGTTAAAAAATAAATAATACTTTACAAAATTAAACTTACAATAAAGGTTTGATAACATGACATCTCTCTAAGATATTAATGTACTATATGTTCACAGCACACATATATAGCCATTGTAATACAATAGCACAGGAAGAATATAATAGTTCTACAATTTTCGACATGAGTATTTTATATTACGGAAGTTATATTTGATCAGTTGCTCATCAGTCATTATTCAATCAATAGAATAAAAAAAAAATACAATTAAATATTTCTAATATCCTTATTGATTTTTTTTAATATCCAAGTTTCATTCTTTACTCATACGTATTTAAATAAATTTCATAATTGCAAAAAATTTAAGAATAAAAAAATATTAATCGACCATAATAATAAATCTATTAATTTATTTGTTATTTTTAAATCTTTACACTTTACAAAATTACCATTAATATCATTAATAATTATTCATTGTGTATTTAATAATATATAATATTTTTATTAATATTCAATCATAATATAATCAAGAAATATTATATTAAACTGCGAGCTATTTGCAACTAAATGAAAGCAAACATATTTACGTGTGAAAATAAAATTATTTGCATATAGCATAAATTAAGATTACTAAAATAATTTTTATATTGAAAAATTAGATAAGTGCTTTTCACGCATTTTAGTCTTATTATTTATTAACAATTTATTAACAATTTTTGAAATATTCTGCTCGCTTTTTTTAAAACTCTTAACAAATTTTTCATACTTTAACAATAATCAACACCACCTGACTAAAATAATTTACAAATTTCACACACACATTTCATATTTGTAAACTATTTAAATACTGCTGTATAGAGAGCCATAAAGTTTTTATAAAATTTTTACTAATGTTTGTTAATTTAAACAGCTATATATTAACATATTTCTTTATGAGACTAGAAACATTATTTTATACTTTAATTCGAAAAGTATCAAGTTCTATCTCGTGTGTATTTTGTCGAATTTACATGTAACTACGTTTAATATGCACGTGCACGCAATGTCCTACGCATAATTAGATTTATTTTATATTTAATATAATTCATATATATATATATATATTATAATATATTCAATTATTTTGTAATAAATTTAATTTACTATATTACTATTACTATCATATTATTATTAAAATATATAGCACAATATTTCTTCTATATTTTAATTTAATTATATTTGATTTTAAATTAAAAAGAATTTTCTAAGAATTACAAAAAGAAAAATTACAAAAGAATTTCTACATATATTTATGTTCTATGGCACAACTTAAAAACTCGTTGCATTTTATATGTAATTATGTTAGTAATAATTCTTGCCATGCAAGAATCTTTGCCTCTTTGGTTTTAAATGTAATATGTACGAATGTTTTTACATGTGCCTAAAACTTATACCAACATTGACAACAAATTCATAATCAATAGGCAATGATTGCTGAATGTTGCTCAATTATACATAAAATGTACATGCATGTACAACACGATATGTAGTATTTTCTAATGAATTGATGGAATGTTGTGTTTAAAGATGAACAGGGAAGTATGTAATTCAAACATAGAATATAAAATTACCTTTTAACGTCATAAATTCTGCTTCATATTTCTTCAGTTTCTTTAACGTCACTGAACAAGCTAACTTCATAACATAGCGTGCAACTTCTTCGTTTCGGCAACGTTTTGGTAAGTGTACCCGAAAGTATTTCAATATGCTCTCAAAATCTAATTGTAATAACTCTTTTTTACAAAGCTGAAAAATAAAATTACTTTTTTTAACATACACATTATTTATAAAATAAATGTAAGAAAAATATCAATTAAATCAACAAAATAATTATATAATTTGTTTATATATATATATATATATATAATATATATAATGAACTTTTTAAATTGTTTCTAATAGCCTACCATCAATAAAGCGAGGGCGACCTGGAATAACGTATCGAGTCCTTGTAAAAGAAATACGTCCAAGATATGAAAGACAAGATATAATGGAAATCTAGCAGTAAATAGAGTTAGAAACCATTGTGCGGCAAACATGTGCGTTTCTACACCGCGATCACAGAAATGCTTATAAAGTTCCGGTAATTGATCCTAGAAGCAAAATGTAGAATGTAGCTTCGTGCATAACTCATTGTAATATAAATATCAGATTATTATACATATAGATTGACTTACTTCTATTAAACGATTTAGTTGGTAAAATCGCATGTAAAGGTTGTCAAATCTATCCTTGTATAAATCTCGAAGACCATAGTCGTACATTAATTTAACCAGAACACAGAATGCTTGTTCTTCAGGCATCTAAAAAAAATACCAGTTCATTCGTTTTTGTCGATAAATACTTAACAAAAAGTTACAAAATATATCATTTGTAAAGAACTGCCACTTCAACAAAATCAAATTTCTATAAAATTACTATTTAGTAACTACTTACATGGAGTAACAGACTAGCAACTAAGAAACTGAGGCCCTGACAATACCCAACTTCTTCATCGTGAACAGCATATGCTTTACTTATTCTGTATAAAGAGTCTTGTCCTAAACCACCTGTTTCTTTAAAGAAGTCATGAGCTGGAAATGTTCTATTAATATCCCTTAAAATTACGCTCTCACAGCTGCTTTCCTGTATATTTATTCAAAATTCATGTTATATCTCTCAGAAAAGATTATTAATCATTTTTTATTATATGAAATTATATAAAGTACTTACTTTCGTAATTAACATTCTATATTTGTCCATCATCTCTTGTGAATTGTCACAGCTACTCAAACGTTGCCAAACTTCACCGCGTAAAGCTTCAGGAATTCCTTGTTTTGTTAGTTTTATAAGAAGTTTTGGACGTTGCTCGTTAATTTGCCAACTATCTAAAACTTCAGCCCAACTAGCCAGTTCATCTGCCGAGCAATCCTTCGAGACTTCGCCTGTACCACTTAACATAGGTTCATCCCCATCTATACGTAGAAATCGAAACGTTAGTAAATATATTTTGTATTATTAAATTAATGAGACAATTTTTCCATGTTGAATTTATTACCTGAATCTATTTCTTCTTTAGGTGTAAGTGTGTCAATACTAGTTAAAGAAGGCGATCTAATTAAAGATGCCAGATTTAAAGCAAGATTTAATCTGTTTCTATCTAATTCACCAGATGTTTCTATACTTTGTACTTCATAATGTATCTCTGTACCATCTCCAGAAATTACCTATTATAAAAAAAATTAATATAGAAATGAAAAATGACATATAAATGTAACAAACTAATAAATACATTTATCGCTCACCTCTTTTGAATTAAGATAAAATTGTTGCACAAGATTCCTTTTATTAAAATACCAAAATCTCTCGTTTTGCGGAAATACTTTAACTGATGTTTCTATTACAAATCTTACTGGCTCTCGAATATCTCTAATAACCAGATCGACGGCTATAGTCATGAAAGTTTTACCCTCTCTGGGAGTTTCTATATTAAGTGTCTCCAAAGCAGGATCTGCAGGATCCCAACGTCCACAAATATTATAACACTGTTTGTCTTGCATTATTGGTCCAGTATTAACTTGCTGCAAAATTGTTGTAATATTGCGAACATCTGAGCTGATTATAGACATAAAATTAACTTGCTGGTGTGAATCTCGTTTTACCATCTCGAGTAGTCGCATATCACTGTGTTTAACATTTCGCCCAGGACTAACAAGAACTCCGAAACATCTCTCGACTTCAAGTGTAATGCCACCTTCTTTACTGGAGACTTGCTGAATACTTAAACAAACTTGTTTTGCCACATTGCTTCGTAATTTGAAACAATTTCTATCCTTAGGAACTGTACTAAAACCACCTTTTCCATCCTCTTCTTTTATTTCCATAGTGACTTCAAAAATAAATACTCTAGAATTAACTTTTTCACCAGCATTGAAACCATTAAAATCACTGCCTGTTAAAGAACTTGTCATTGAACGCGGTATTCTGTGGAATGCTTTTGAAAAACAAGCTGATACTTGTCCGACCTAAATAAAATAATTATAAATTATTTTATTAATAATAAATTAATTATTAAGATATACATTATTTTATACATATTAATATTATATATATGTACATGTATTTAAAAATGACAAAATATATTTATCTCTC